TTATATGGTAGAGAATAATTTAAGCATCCTCATGCATTATAATATACCACTACTTCATTTATTAGCTTTTGCTGAATTAAGTTTTTTGTTTAATTGGTTTCAAAAGTAATAAATGCCGTACACAAACATTATTTTTCACGTTACTGCCTAAAAACTTGTTACTTTAGTTATTCTATATAGCAGTGTCAATAAAATATTAAGTGTAAATAATATACATCAAAACTTATATTTATTAAATTTTATACAGCTTCTAATTTTCATTACTACATCATTTTGAATATGTTTTAATATTTAAGAAAAATGTTGTAATTAAATCAATAAAATATATTTTTGCTATTCTGTATAATATTTCATGTAAGAAAATGATTAAATTTTAGTCAGAAAAAATATAGCGAATTAAATATCTGAGTTTTCCATATCATTACCACCATAATGTAAAAGTTGCATTAGATGATCTATTGCTTGCAGATTTTTCTTGTTATGATTATGTCTAAGGACATGAATTTGTTTCATCTATATGCATATTTTGATTTAGATTTAACCATAGATTTTAAACATACAGCAAGCAAACTTCGTTACGGCGTTAATATAAACAAAGTTGAAAGCAGATGTTCTTGTCATTCAAGGGAAAAATAATGTACATATTGTCGTTCTTTAAGTAAAAACAAAATGAATTTGTTGGCTAACATGGTGGGAAAATGTATGGAAACTATTATGTGTCAGTCTTTTAAACTCAGATGTAATTCCTGCTTTAAATTAATTGTCCTTGACAAAAATCTAAAATTAAGTGCAAATTATAATTTTATACGAAATTTAGACAGAAATGAATTACTCTTCCCCTCAACAGATGTTGTTACTGCAGTAACTTATAATTATGTTGTAATACAAAAATTATTAAGCGAAGAAAATGAAAAAAAGTTTTTGAAGCAAAATAATCAAAGAAATATTGTTATTGAATTATCGTCTACTATTATTGATGAATGCGATATTTTCTTAGTCGATGAAACTTGTGATAATGGCCATTCCAATGACACTTTATTAAATATAATTTTAAGAACATCTACAAATTGTTTTTTAAAAAAAAATTATTGTACTAAAAAAAATAATCACATGCCTGGAACAAAAAAGCGAAAACTGCAAACTGTGAGTCTTAATGCTAATTAAATTTTCCATAAAAAACCATTTTCTTTGTTAATGGCTTTTTTTAAATGAGTATATATTATTGCAAATATCAGTTATGAATTCATTCTATATTACATGTACATAAAGTGCATTTATTATTCATTGCTCTGAGAAGCTGCAGTGCATTAAATAAAATATTATTAAAATTTTGTGTATTGTTTTTTTAACTTATTTTAATAATTAATACATTTATTAGCTTTTTCTCCATTCAATTTCTGTTCAGCTGGTTTCAAAATAATCAATTTTTTTTTACTGCTTTCAGTAGAATCAGTTTTATATGCTATGTTCTGTACACATGAATAATGCACAAAATTTTACTCGCCCTTTTAAATTATTTTATGAAAAGCCTAATAATTCCTGTAAATGTTTATCAATGCTAAAAACAACAAAATTCTTAATAGATTTGTCAACAAATCTTTTATGACCAGTGTTAAAACTTATAAATTTAATGTGGAAACAGTTTGATAATAATTAAAATGCAAGGGACATTTTAAATACCCAAAATTTTCAAAGATCATAAACGCAAGAAAATTGAACATAATTTCTCCTAGTTGCATAACTTGAAAACTGACTTATAAATGCTTTTATATTGTAGTATATCATTACACCATCACTAGGTTCTAGGTTCTCTTGTTTTTGCTCAATTGGTTTCAACAGAATTAATTTTATATGCTGTGTCAAATTCTATAGACAAATGAAAGTGCATAAATGTCACTTGCCATTACATTTCATATACTGCTAACCTAATTTAACTTACATTTCATATGCTAGACAATAACTTATAAATGCTTTGACACTATTAGATTCTAATTATTAGTTCTTTCTGATTTCAGTATAATTAATTTTATATGGTATTCTATGTAAATAAACAACACAAGATACATCACCTTCTATTATTATTTCAAATATTGTTTATCTCATGTAGCTTAAACTTATATGGTAGAGAATAATTTAAGCATCCTCATGCATTATAATATACCACTACTTCATTTATTAGCTTTTGCTGAATTAAGTTTTTTGTTTAATTGGTTTCAAAAGTAATAAATGCCGTACACAAACATTATTTTTCACGTTACTGCCTAAAAACTTGTTACTTTAGTTATTCTATATAGCAGTGTCAATAAAATATTAAGTGTAAATAATATACATCAAAACTTATATTTATTAAATTTTATACAGCTTCTAATTTTCATTACTACATCATTTTGAATATGTTTTAATATTTAAGAAAAATGTTGTAATTATATCAATAAAATATATTTTTGCTATTCTGTATAATATTTCATGTAAGAAAATGATTAAATTTTAGTCAGAAAAAATATAGCGAATTAAATATCTGAGTTTTCCATATCATTACCACCATAATGTAAAACTTGCATTAGATGATCTATTGCTTGCAGATTTTTCTTGTTATGATTATGTCTAAGGACATGAATTTGTTTCATCTATATGCATATTTTGATTTAGATTTAACCATAGATTTTAAACATACAGCAAGCAAACTTCGTTACGGCGTTAATATAAACAAAGTTGAAAGCAGATGTTCTTGTCATTCAAGGGAAAAATAATGTACATATTGTCGTTCTTTAAGTAAAAACAAAATGAATTTGTTGGCTAACATGGTGGGAAAATGTATGGAAACTATTATGTGTCAGTCTTTTAAATGCCCTTTGAAATATTCATGCATACAGCGAAAATTCACCTGAACTTAAATTTTTTGAAGAATTTTATTTACTTACATTATTTTTTATTTTGGGGAATAAAAAATGGAATTTCTAATTTTTGAAGAAAATTCGCGCTGCCTGGAAGCTGCGAGCCTGTTTATTCCTTTACCCGCTACTAGTGACATCACGATCGCAGTGACGAGGCCTTGTTTTTCCGGTGGTGACGGTTCTGCGTACCTTGTGATGTATCTTCTGGCGTCATAGAGCTGATATTTGCATATGCATTATCTTTCCACTACATTGGCTTTTAATTGTAGTGATAGAAAAATATTCTTTCTCAATAATTTCATGATGATAATGTTAAAAAATTAATTTGTTGCTTAAGGTTTGCACACTAGTGTGTTATTACTTCTAAACCTTTTCCAAGGTATAAGCTTGGTTAATTATGATTTAAAATATGTATTCGTTTTTATGAATTTAAATGCATTTCTGACACTAAAGATTTCTAAATTCTTGAATGAAAATTATCAGAAGTGACTAGAAGTTTACAGAGGGTAAAAGAAGTAACACCTCCTCGTATTAATAAACTTTTCCGAAAAGGGCAGAAATAACCAGTTTGCATTTACTAGGTAAAATTTTTAATTTATTTTATAACACTAAATATAATGCTTTGAATTGAGAAACATAAATATTTAAAAACAATGATTTCTTTTATTATTATTTCTCCATTTTAGCCATGCTATTCAGAATAAAATTCATTAATCACTGTAATCTTTGCTGATCAAAAATTGCATTTTCTTCTTAAGAAATAATATTGTTTCATTCATGAGGTGGTTAACGCATATTAAAATTTTAAATTTATGTCTGTAAATTAAATATTTGATCTTCGCATAAGTACGAAGACAAATCTATCACAGAGAAATCTTGGTTCGTGGATTTAATTCCTTTCTGAAAATAGATAGTCATCTGTAATATTCTTCAACCAAAACAGTTTTCCCCATAAGAATTTATGTAAAATGAATTAATCTGTTACCGGATTCCAAATGATTGCTTATAAAAGGGTACTTCGTATATAAGTTCGCAATGCGAAAACAATGGACTTCATTAAGTCTAAAAAACATAGCAACACAGTATTTATACAGCGAGGATTTGACGCAGTAATACATACACGTAATTAATATGTAATACATATAGTAGATAACACAACACTAACCGTATAAAAATAGGAAAACTTGAATTAAATTGTACTGCATTTCTACGAAGGAAAGTTGCCGGCTTAACTAGAGAGCGGTGAAGAAGCCTAATATGCAAGATACTATTCTGGAAGGGAAATCCTGTCCTATAAAAACATCATATAGCTGCCGTCTTTCTGTTCGCCCCTTTTTTTCTTTTCTCTTTCTCTAAACACCGGTCGCCTCTACTTGAGTATAGCTGAGCCCCCTTTGTTTCATTAAACCTTTTTTACTGTGTGTCTATGTTTTAAATTTTTCCTAAAGCTAGGCATGACATTGTGATTGAAATATTTAGGCTGCGTTTTACTATTGCTTTCTCAAGATGATAATGCTCTATGAATATTTGCAACACCATTTTACGCAAATTTCCCGGATAAATTAACTTGTAACATTTTCCCTTCCATTTTCCTCTTTTGAAGACATTCCCTCAACTACATTAACTGCATTTTGAAGTATCATTTCTGGCTGACTTACTTTTTCATATCTCGAGACATCGTTCATCAAAGAAATTTTTGTTTGGAAAATGTGTTCGCAAATCGATCTATTCAAATTTGTTCGGCCGTATTAGGATAAAAGACAACTTGAGAACGTTATATTCGAATAAACTTACACTGAACTTATAATGAATTTATTAGAATAGCTGTGTTCATGATACATAGCAAATTTCACAACTGCGATTTTTTAAGGCTTTTATCTTTTTGTATTTCTCCTTAAATCTTAGCTAAAGGTATAAAAATCTTAAAAACTGTAGTTCTGTATTCTCCTTCGAGAGTTGTATATTAGACAAAATCTTTCATTATCATCATGTTCTATTTATTGTATCACTTCTTTCCCATAACAACAGATTTACACTGAACAATAAACAAATATATATATATATATATATATATATTAAAAAGTAACATTTAAACTATGGACTGACTTGTGTACTGTTCCCGCTCTCTGAATATGCGCATGATTTCTCTCCCATTTCTTGGGTCGGTGCCATTCTTCAAGGCCTTGCTCAAAGCATCAGCATATAAGGTCACTGCGTCATACAGATAAGAGGCGTACGGAGTGATGTGCTGAAAATAGAAGAGATAAGACACTCAAAGATTACACCGACGATCGTAATATAAATACAGTTCCGTTATTCCACACAAGGACTGAATCTTTGTACTCCCGCCATCGAATTTGCGCTAAACAGTCTCGCAGTTCAGCGTTTTTCAGTCAGGTTTCTCGCGATAGAATATATACCAAGAGACTATATCCGTATTCTCTAAATATATAATGGAGTTAAAAAACGGTAGTATTACTTCAATCATGAAGATGTTTGGGGGATGAGAATTATATTCAATAATTAAATAATCCTCCTTTCCAGATCGATAATTTAGACAACTCGTGGGGTTCACAAGAAGACTGACTTGTGAAAATTTGTGCATTTCTATTGCAACTACTTTTCATACTGGGAAAATGGTCGATGAAATTAATCATCTGAAAAACTTTAAAGGAACTATTTTTTGTAATTATCGTACAATGTGATCACGTGGTAACTTACAAAATAAAATATTTTGATGAAAGATATTAACTGATAAAAATTATTCAACGAACTATTGCATTTATAAAGATATGGAGTAACTGAGAAATTACGCAAAGGTCCGATTTTAAAATTAAGCTGAACAAAACATAGCGAAATTTTCCTCATAATCAGAACAATCAGAACTCTTTCAGATTTACAACATTAACGAATGAAGTACGATTAATGGGAACTATTACAGCAACAAAGCATACACTTCGACAATAAGTACAGGTTAGATCAAAGGCTAGAATATGCACACACCTAGAAGTGTCGCCCTACCTAAAAGAGAACTAATTTTAATATCTGTTTTCCTCTAATGCAGAGAAAGATTTCGATGATAGTAGCTGCAGTAAGATGAAAAGGACTAGATGTAATGCCATGCTGCTCTCCTTATAAGCGAATCATACAGTAGTACTTCTTTTTGAGAAAGCTTCACATATCTACACTATCTTTTATACTATCATTGAAGAGGTTCCTGTCTATTTTAGACAGAATTTTCTGAACTAAATGCGTACACCGCACTGAAAGTTTCCCCCCCCCCTAAAATTTTCTGTTTTTTATTCCCAGTCTAAAAGGTGTTCATTACAAAAAAGGAAAACATTTTCTCGAAAATTCTCTATTTTTTATTCCCAAACATTAGTATAAGAAAAAGAAAATTCTTAATTTTTTATTCCCAGTCTAAAAGCTCTTTAATACCACAAAATATGTTTTTCGAAAATTCTATAGCAAGAGCTCATAAAAACTCCATTTATACTTCCTATTTTCACATTCAAATTTTTATAACGTCATCAAAATTTCTGATATCTAAAGCACAATTAATATTTTTGTATGGTTATAAAATTTTAACAGTATTTTTATGAAATTTTTACATTTATTTTTACCCCAGATATTCGAAAAAAATCATTTTATTCTCCATCTCCATTTCATGGTCCTTTGAAAACAGCAAAAGAATTAAAAATAATTAATCAAGTGAAATTGTGAGGATGAAAACCAATGAAAACTTACAGGAACCCAATCTTTGAACAGCTCGCCCGCCGTGAACTTGAACGGCTCTTCACTGTTATATTCACGAACTTTCTCTTGAAATTCGTCATACTCATCACCCCGCGGTGGCGTCGACACAACGACCAAGAGGGATTGAGAAGCCTTCATGATAACTTCATATCCGGAGTCGGGTTCATCTAAAAGAATGGCAATAAAAATAATGACGAATTATATTTATTCAAGGGAAGGAAATTCAAATTATTTTTACTAGCATTGCTCTTTTTAACTACCATACAAAAATTAATTTTTGTTATGCCAGTAAAATTTACGAATACACTCTCTTAGATTACGGTGACCAGATTTTAACATTGGTAAAGTAGAACACCATTGAGCGGAAGGGGGGGGTTCTTGATTAAACATTTGGTCTACATAGAACAACTAAAATTTTCATAGAACGCAAAAATAGTATTTTTCTTTAATTTCAACGTAAGTACTATTTACAAATATTATACATTAAAATTATGATTAGTATTGTTTTATTATTTGGCATACTTTTCATTTGAGTGAATATTTTTATTAAATTGCTGTCGTTGTTTAAAAGGCCGTGAAGCTTTTCACAAGAATTTGTTGAATTATATTTCACATATAAAATGGCTTTTAAAGTGTCAACACTTAATTGTGATTTTTCTGATGTCCATACTTTATTTACCGTAGAAAAAAACGCGTTCAGTCGCAGCATTAGTTTTTGGTAAGGACAGAGCGTATTCTACAATTTTTAGTGCATTATTGTAGGGAAAATGGTTTTGTTTCAAAATGATGAAATATTTCTAACCATTTGTCTCTAGTGTGATTTTTGCTGATGCCCAAGATTTAACTTTTTCCTTATCAATATATTTTTTTTAATATTGGTACCTCATTAAAAAGATCATTTTCGGAAATACTGCTATATGGAAAATTTTGAGTTATATGATCGAATGGTTTTGCACATCATTCCAATTAAGTGCTTGTTTTAATGTAACCCAATGAAAATAAATGTTTAATGTCATTGTAATGTACCGTCCACTCTTCTAAATAATCTATGCAATTACTATATAACTTTTTAATGTAATTCATGATATCTGCCCAATTTATTGCACCTTGCCCTTCTATCTGGGTTATACTATTACGGAAAGTTAACGGAAGAAAATTATTTTCTAATTGCTCTTGACACTGAAATTTTAAATTATTAACTTCATTTGCTACTTCGATTACCGAAACTTTGTCACCTGCAATAAGTTTTATAGCATTTTGAAAAAAAAAAAAAAAAAAAAAAAAAAAATACTTGATTTTGTACAAACTCTAGCCAAATTTTTGAAGATTCATTTTCAACGAGCACAGTATATATATAGCTATAAGAATATATTTTATCGTGCTTCCAAAAATCGGGACTTTTTAAAATGTCGCGGGACAAATTGTTAAAAATCGGGCATGTCCCGCCAGAAGCGGGACGTCTGGTCACCTTATCTTAGATAAACATCTATCCTTATACAGGAAGTTTTCCATTTTTGACAGCTGCTGCATGCATTATTATGCCGTGTGGATACGAAAAATAGGATTGAAGTATTTGACGGAAAATGCAAATTTCTAAGTGTCTAATTAAAACGAGTACAATAAAACCCATTTCATGATTCAGAAACATCATTTTCGCATAAAACAGTTCACTGCTATTCTGAACATATACAAACAACAAACAGAAACTAAACGATGAAAATGATGTTAAGATTTATCATTAAATGAAAGCATTTTATTTTCCGTTTATTTTCAATTTTTTAATTTTGCAATTCATAAGAATAATTTATTTTGAAATTTGCATTCGAAAAGAAAAATTCACTAAGTAATACCTTAAACTGCATTCCGTAAATTAATTTAATCTGTAGCATTTGAGTTTCATTAAAGTAAGAAAAATGCATTAACGCGAACGTATGAATTTTCATCCGCTCTTGTGAATATTCGCAAAACAATTAAATCAATGGGAAAATACATAAAATACAGACACTTTCACTAAACCTATTTAATTAAGTGCTGAATTTGAATTTATTTAATGGTACGCCATGCATACCAGAATAATTAAGCTATCCTTTTTACTTCCTTGTACGAAGTAAAAAGGAAGTATTGTAATCGCGAAAAGATTCAGGCGGCATATTTCAACGAAAATATCCACTTTGACCGCTATCGAATGCAATTTAACGATGTTTTTTGCGTGATATCTGCACGTAAGGACAGAATAAAATACTCTTTTCCTTCAAACAAATTATAAAACTGCTTTAAAATTAATTCCGAAGAGAATTTTTCGTGGCGTCTGTACGAACGCATGTACGTTCGTGCGTACGTACGTATCTCGCATAACTCAAAAACGAGTAGCCTCAGAACGTTGAAATTTTGTATATAGGACTGCTTTAACATGTAGATGTGCACTTCGTATTTTGGTTGCAATCGGCCGCACCAAACGTATATAAATATATTTATATATATATATCCACTCTGTTACCCGGCTCAGTGATCTCAGTTTCTTTACACTTATACGTTTATAAATTGTACATTTTTGCTTTAAAAATGGCCTGTCATAAAACTTGATTCTAGTGAAGGTTCTTATAAAAAATTTTTAAAAAGCCACCTCATAATGTGCATGTTACTTCTTACCCCGCTTAAAAACTAGCTCTTAGTTTCCCTACACATAAATATTCATACTAATTCAAAATTTGGAACACGATTTCCGGTCAGTCTGCCAATGCTGTATAAATATGGAATTGCAACAAGAGTAACATTTTTTGATGGACTTTGTGGGAATTTCTTTTTATTAATCATTTTTTAATTATTATGTACGCACAGTTAATACCCCACCTCGAAACGGATAGTGAGATCTGTGTACGTGCTTCGTTTTATCTAGCTAATAGGAAAAATATTTCGTAATTTTTGGTTTAAGGTAAGTTCATTGATCTATTCTAGAGATGAATTTAACTACTTATTTTCTCTATGTATTAAGTTTTAAAATGTTTTACTAATCGCAATACTTTTGTAAATCAACTAAAATGTCCAAAACCATACTTGAGGCAAGCAGTAACAAAATCTCAGGGCAAGTTGCAACATGTTACAACTTGCCCCGAGATTCTGTTTCATGTAGTTAAGACTTTTCTTCTTTAAATACTAACATACAAATTACTTTATTTAACTTTATTCTAGCTAGCTTTTTTTTCCAAAATAGAAAAAGCGAATTTTTACCCTCAACGATGAGACCTCTGCTTAAGGCTTCACCTCGGAAACATTCTAACAGAGGCAGACGTAAAAGGAAATATGTCGTTCTAACCAACACACTCGAAACCAAAACATCGAAAAAAGAATGTGAAAAGATAATTAATAAGGAACGAAAAACAAAAAAACATTTAAAAAAAGATAAGGGATAAGGAAACGTTACAGAAAAAAATCCAAAAAGAAAATAAAGAGATAAAATGGGGGAAAAAGATAATTTTGAATTCATATACCAATTCTGAAACAGAAATGTGGTTGCGCGTAACACGCGGAAATACCTTCTGATGAAGAATTAGTTTGAAAAATATAGGCCCATGTTAAATATGTGAGAAGAAATAAGCTATCATTTGTATGTGGTATCTGCAGTTCTGATGAAGACTGATTATTACGTTTATCTGTTAAATAATATTACTTGTGTTTTACTACAAACCATTATTACAAATTGACATATTCATAGTTAGTAAGCAGACTAATAATAATTCCCAATTTGTTTTTTTTTTTAAACTGTCGTTTTTATTGTTTTATTGTTATTTATTGTTCCAGGTTTGTTACAATTTACCTAAGTCTGCGACTAACTGTAACAGATGAATAGTTTTGATAAAGTACTTCTTGTGTTGAAATCAACAAAATTGCCGAATGTTTGATTTATGTATATGATGAATATATTTATGAATGTATGTATAATCATACTATATATATGTATAGTCATACTATAAAAAGCAACGGTTATAAACAAGGAATCTTAAAAACATTTAAAAATTAAAACATTTGACAACAATTGTTACAACTGTCTCCTAGCTCTCCTACATACATTTAAATTTATTTCCTGAATAATTATACCAAATTCATATTAACAGTAAAGTGGTGAATCACAAACGGCAAATTGTATTAATTATTTTTACTTACGTAATCTGAAGTATTTGTGCGCATCATCTTCCGTGTAACTTTCTGTGTCAATGTAAATAACCATATAGTTGCCAGTGTCCAGCAAGCCGCGCATTTTCAGAACAGTAAGTAGATTTCCAAGATCTGTTGTATCTCCCAAGAATACATAGACTGAAAAGAAAATGAGGTAGTAAATCAATCTCGAAACAAAAAGACTTGCGACTGTCTTATATGAACTATTAAACAGATTCAATTAGTCAGGCTTTCAGTGCCTCGATCAAAACAAGCAGATTGAATCAATCGATAATATTTGAAGAGATTCATAAACCTGCATCGTACGATCTAATCAACAATCTACCACCTAACTTTAAATTCCTCATTCAATACTAAAGGAAGAGGATTTTTTTAACAAAGTTAAATTGATTCTTTTAAAATGAGAACTATTTATTCGTACCTACATTAGTTTGAGTCAAAGAAGAAAAAAATGAAATTTAGGATATGTACGCTCGGAAAACTACTTACTTTATGATAGATTGTGAAAAATAAAACTACCGGCATTATGTCGAAATCAAGTAATTGAAAAATCATTGATTCGTCTAATATGCGTTTAAAAACTCAGTAAGCCATTATTTTTAAATTTCCTTAATAGAATACGTATTTCTCCTTTCATCATAGTATCATAGCTTGTCGGAGGAAAAAAGAAAACACGGAAAATGGAGAGAGTTAAGGGGAGCACTGATTATTATATTAATTGATCATCAATCCGCTACAAGTGTTTCTGTTTTATGGATAATATATGGATGGATATAGTTCGACCGTCTATACCGCAACCCTGGTTGGCATTCTGCCAAAACACATAGACTCGTCCAAAAATGGGCGGTATTACTTGCTGCAACGGGAAAGGTCTTCTCTTCTCCGGAAAGAGCTATGCTGGAGGGAAAGAAAGTTCCAGCCTTCCACCCTATTTTGAGAATAATTCGGTCCGAAAGGCGCATGCGTGTTTGCGCTCATGGTCGCGGATGAGGCGGTCGAATTATATTATGCCTAGCCTGATGGTATCAATTGTTATTTGAAACAGCTAGCTCGAACAAAGTACGTGGATTCGACTCCAATTTAACTCTTTGAAATCCAGACCCTTCGCTAAGCTGTAACCTCAAAATACCCGAACCGCCCGAAATACTTTTCCAGTTTCACAGCAGTTTCCTCCACTTCCCGTCCATTAACGCAGATAATAGGTGTGAAGATGTCCAATGACATCCTTTGTACTTTTTAACAAAGATTCCATTAGCCTTTGACCCCTTTCTTTATAAAACTATTCTGAAGATCAGATCAACAAGCCTTTCCGGCTTTGTTATGATAACGACTGAGATTTTGTTTATTTCCGTTGTTTTTATAGGAAGGAATAAATTGTTTAAAAATAAATATAATCCTTAAATTTTTAAACTGCTCTTTTATTGCTGTTTAAAGCTTAAAAGCACACTGTACCACAAAAGAATCAACAACGAAATGTCACGATCAACCAAAGGATAAAAAAAAAACTCTTAGGACAAGCTGTCTGCAGTAAATTGATACAATGCAATTGGGGAAAGTGCACCTGCTACTATATACCTTAGAAGGAGGGAAGAAAAGAAGATTACAATCTCGGCCGTTTTCGGGTGGTTCTGGTCGGTTCAATGTAGGGCCGTATCGGGCGGATTGGATGTGAAGAAGTTAAGGCATTGTTGTATGTCTGCGTCCTCCTCCTCCTCTCTCTAAATGGTGTAATATCAGTTTACCATCTGTAGTGGGGGATAGGCAACGTTCTAGGTCTAACAGAACTATGAGTTTGCCCACCAGCAGCCGAGCGATAAACTAGTTGAACACTGGTAGTGTCGACCTGGGTTCGATTGCAGGCGAACAGGCTGGTTGCATGGGCGTTTTCGTAGTTTTTCCCATGTGTAACGTGTGCACAAGCCAGGTCCCACAAAAAGTCTTTCACTAAGGCATACCTCCTAGGCAGATAACCGTAGTTTGCTTTGCCCTAATCAACTAAACCGACACTTATGGGTTAAATCTTTCTCAATGAATCGGTTCCGAACAAAACTAAGAGTCACCGAAAGAAAAAAATTATATGTCATACTTCTTCGCATATTTTTGTCCCTAAATTTTTAGCGCTAGGTGCTGAAATTTTAAAACTATTCCCATAATGTTCCGCTCCTCTATTGTACATAGCTTTTCCTCAAGAAGGCTAGTTAAGTGGCAAATTGTTTCCTTCATTGTTTTTATTTTTATTCGGTGTATTCAATTTATATTTGTATTTTTGTATTAGCATTTCATTCATTTTATTTTCCTTTGCATTTATTATTTGAAATATATTTTATGGAGAGTTTCCACGACGTAGCAAGTGTACTTACACTTAAGAAACTTTCAAAACATATTATTTCACTTAATTTTGGTTTATTTACGTTCCGGCTTATTTTAACCTTATCTATTGCTGATGTGTTGATCTTTCGATAACCGGTCTTTTGTTTCGGCCCCCGACCTTCTTCTTCGTCCGATGTTCCTCTTCGGAACAGCGGTCAAGACTCATCCATATGAAGTGCCCCTGTGGTTTCACAAGGTAATTAGGTAATTGAGCCCGGGGCTTAATTACCATCAGTTATCCGTCAGACATTCTTATTTTAATATTACTATGTATAATTATTTAAATGTAGGTTTCTCTTAAAAGAAATAACCTCGTGATTTATACCAGTAGTTTAGGCATGCCTATTTTTCATTTGTTCTGCTCTTACTCTAGCCGCGCTCTTCGGAAGTTAATTCCTCGCACAATTTTTCCCTCTCAGTTTTCGAACCATAAAGTTATTTAAAATAAGAGGAGAATACGCGACGAATTAGAATAGATTACGGTAGGATCAGCAACAGGTTCTCTTTCAACAGAACGCGAACTTTCTTTCTTTCCACCAACGTAAACAAGCACAATATAATGCGTGAGTTTGCATTCAGTATAGAACATTTTGGAATCATTCCGGTAGAAGAGTTTTTATTTGTAAATATTATGGCGCGAAAGTTATCCAAATTCCACATTTTGAGTTAACGCAAATTTTGCGCTTGTTCTGGTTACGAAAAAAACGGCACATCAATCGTGAACAAAAAGAAGAAAAAAAAAACAGTTCTAAACTATTATAAACTTGGGATCTGTTATGTATTGGTCGCGATTGAAATTTTCACTTCAGTTTTCGTTTGTTTTAAACAGGCACTTGTCAACTAAGAACGAAGGTAATTCGAAAAATTTTTAATGTTAAAAAATTCAACCTGTTTCCAATTATCCGTTTTCTAGCTCTCTAAACACTTATTTATAAAAGTTTTTAATTGAGTCAAATGCTTTATAACGTTGCGCGCCTCTAACTAGCACGCAACCAAGAGGTGATTGTGAAAGCTTGTATAAACCACAGAGTCTATAAAGGGTTTAAGTCCCTTTTTTATTCAACGTACTAATTTACAATTGCGTTCTTCTCTTGACGCTTACAAACGGTGCCAAACTCGGCAGTCAAAATAAAATAAAAACCTGAAAAAATTAAAGACAATATTCTAACTACGAGGCTCTCTCAATAACTAACTCACCGCGTTTACAAACGGCTGCTATTCAGCAGACTTGAAGCTCACTGAACATTGCACTACTTCCCGCCAAGCACATAGGCCGCAACGCGGGGTTTTTCAAATCTCTATAACTCCGCGCTCGCTAAGTAAGAAACTCTCTCTCCGAACTTCCTTACTATTTAAATCATCTACTTCCGCTGATATTTGAATGCTTGCGCGTTCTACTCAATTACATATTCTGTTCTGGCATTGGGAAGCAGTTGACAGGAAAGTTTTAAACTTAAATAAATGTTAGTTAAAATAAATATAAACCCTACAGCTTCATAAATAAAAATATACTTTTTCTATAAAATATGTTATAACGTGACTTACTTTAATCATTATTAACATACATTCAGGATAAAATGTTTTATTACCTGGTACATCAGTAAATTTTATTGATATATAATTTAAAACAGTATTGGTATAAATTAATCATTATCGCCCATTTGAGACGCATACACATACATTTAAATGATATACATTTATTCTAATTCGTCTAATTTAATAATAATACGTTTATATAATAATAACTACATATCAACATTTACATAATAAAAAGAAATATCGAAGAGATACAAATTTATTCAAACAGTTATTCAACTTTTTAAACTTATAATAAAACATTTTAGTGTACTCGCACCGAAACAGACTGATAATAGCCCTATTTAAATAAATTTCGAATATATTTCACCGCTACAGTGATGATTTGTGTTACGCAGTTAGTTACCTTTGCCTTATAGGAAACTGGGATTCGCGATTAAATATAACAAAATATTTAGAGGTGACAGAAATTGAAATTTTCTAGAATAAGAAAATTAAAAAATTCCCGAAAGCTTCGTGTAATAGTCTGCAGCATGAAGGAAATAAAATAGAGAATTTTTAATTATAATATAAATTTGAAATTTGCATTTAATGAAAAACAAATTTTAGCTTATAAATAGGTTTTATAAATAGACATAAATTTATTAACACGAAAACAAATAGTTACTCGAGTACATAATTTAAACTCTCAAATCTTGAGATTCGTATTTCTCAACATAATTTAGCTGAAAATATTTAGTTTCAACACTTTGACAAATATATTAAGTAATTCAGACTAACGAGTGATTTTAACTAAAAGTGTTTGATTAAAAAATTTTCTGGAATTATTTTGACTAAAGCTAACGTGTAAGGGGTTAGCATTATGTTAAAATGTAACATGCAGAAATTAATGATTGAGTGATTAACAACTGCATTTTTTCGGTAATACCCCGGTTTTATTGAAATCTATTGCTGAAAAAGACTCAAGTTTCGAACCTCCAATTCTTTACGTGATTCATGATAATTGGAGATTCGAAAGTCACATCCCTAAAATAACACGTTATTGTTTTCCCGTCTCTGTAATGAGTTATCTCTCTCAGTTATTCCCATAGCTTTCACACTCACTCACAAATATGGATATCACTCGCCGTCCACTCTAAGTAGCTTTTCGGCCAAATGCCCTCGAAAGGAACAACTTGTCATGATTATCACTCAGTAGAGAGGCCACTTAAAAGATCAGATTTCGGCTTTTATGAAATGTTAGGTCAAATATTGCAAGCAGCACTCCATTCCGACCTATCCGTTACAGACTCACGTTTTTTTTTTTTTATACCGCTCATCACACTTACAAATGGGCAAATGTTTTGACAGAAGGGGGGGGAAGACCTCCGCTGTTGACGACTACAATTCCACAGCCTCCAGAAAACACAAAATCATATATTTAATGCGAGTGCAAACTCCTTGAAAATTAACCATAGAATGTTGTTGAATTTTAAAGGAATTTCTTGCCAAATGTGTGAATTCTATCTTCATTTTCATTTATGTTGTATAATTTTAATTAATAATCAAACATAAACTTTAGGAACTTTTAATTTTTCTTATGTTTGCTAATTAACGTAATGTCTGAGGGGAAAATAATATAATATAGATGGAGTCTCAAATAGAAATCATAGCTCAGGTAGTTTTGAACAAAATACACGCGTTATTCAAAATCCATATTCGATACATACGTTTTAGTGGCATCAGAGGAAAAATATTATGTACTTAATCATATCATTAAACTATTTCTGAAAACATCAAGAAACTGAAATTTTAAAAAATAAGCCTTCATCACATATACTAAAAATTAACTGAAACATCAACTCACTTTTTTTAAAAATGAACAAACATCAGATACATAACCTCGAATACTGTCTGAACAACGATATAAAATTAATCATTATTCTCGATTAAATGTAATATCAAATATATAAAATTAATCATTATTCTCGATTAAATGTAATATCAAATATATTTCAATACAAAATTAAATTAATAAATTGCAACCTGAAAATCTCAGATTATAGTTAACGTCACAAAAAGCGATTACAGTCGAAAACATCGCGGCAAAAACATCGCAAAACATCGCAGAGAAAACAACGCAAGGCGAAAACGTCTTGCTACAAAACATCGTGGGAGAAAACATCGCAAAGAGAAAATATCGCAGTTCTAAACCATCGGGGTACAAAACATCGTCGTCGAAAAAAAGCGGTTCAAAACTTCGCAGTTTTGAAAACATCGTCGTCGAAATATTGTGTAAAATAAAGTATCTACAAATCATCGCATGACGATAACATCGCAGACATGCTTTTTTCAGGCTTTGATAACTGTAAATAGATATTCCCATAATAAATTGTGAGCGCAAGATGTAAAGAAGGATAATTTTTACTTTCACATTTTTCTATTAACTAATAAATTTTTGCTGAAAAAGTAAGAAGGAAACTTAATCATAGAAAATTAAACGCAACTTATAGATTATAGTTTTTATGAAAAATTACCAGTAAAAACTTTATAAAAAATGATTTATTAATGGTCTTTGTTAGTTAATTATGTCGGTTTAAAATTTTGTTAAGTGCTATAAGTTGCATTAAATTTTCTATGCTTAAGTTTCCTTCTTATTTTCTCAGCAAAAATTTATTAGTCAATATAAAATAAAAAAAATATATCCTTCTTTCCTCTTGCGCTAACACAATATTACGGGAATATCTTTACAGTTATGTAAAGTCTGAAAAAAGGATGTCTGCGATGTTATAGTCACCCGATGATTTGTAGATATTTTATTTTTTACCGCGATATTTTCGACGACGATGTTTTTAAACTGCGAAGTTTTTGAACCGCTTTATTTTCGACGACGATGTTTTGTACCACGATGTTTTAGAAGGGCGATGTTTTCTCTTTGCGATGTTTTCTCCCACGATGTTTTGTAGCACGACGTTTTCGCCTTGCGTTGTTTTCTCTGCGACGTTTTCGACCGCGATGTTATCGGCGGACACCCAAAAAGCTTACCATAAAGTTCGCAAAATGTTCACAAATTATTTAAGTGTATTAATTCATAATTTAAATAAAATCTGATTTCTAATTTTGAAGATTCAGTAGGGTTTTTTCAAGCAGGATACGTGAAATATGTGCAATGCCCTCGGCAGGACTCGAACCCTGGCCCTTTTGAATACGCGTCCAGTATGCTTCCAATTACACCACGAAGGCATGAAGAAAGAGTCAAATTTAATTTAATGCACCAAACAGTTTTCCAGAGCTTTAGTTAGGCTAAGAGTTTAAGAATTCCGTATTAATTTACAACATAAAACATTAGATCATATAATTATAAAGACTTCTTTAAAATAGCAGTGTGCCAAATAGCGTAGAAAACTTTCTATGCTCTGATGTCATCATAAAGCATCATCATGTGCAAATTTAATGCACTTTCTTTAAATAAAAGACTTAATTATTTAAAATTTAGAAATGCATTTATTTCATTTTTCAGAATGGCAAATGAATTTATTAAAAACAATAAATATCTTGCGAAAAGGGTCCTTTGACAGTTTAAAATGAAAGATCAAGTATGAGCAAACACAAAAAGAAAACTAAATAGCTTTTATGGAAGTTAATTGGCTAGTTAAAATTAAGTATTTAATTCTAAAAATGTTTAAATATTAACAAAGGAAACTTCTACAACCTTCATTTCTTACGTAAAACAGAAAATATTGAAAAAAAATCGGAAATACGAATACCATTAAGGAAAATTTATAACTAAAAAACTGTTCTTGTTCTTTTATTCAATTTTCTTTTTCTCTCATTTCAGTGTAAAAATATCTCATTCTCTGTGAAAGAAATTTAGAAAAATTAAATATTACTTTTGAATTCTTATGAAGACTAGTACTTATTGAAGATCATGACTGCCAACAGTAATAATAAACCTAAAGTATAACATCTAACAGTAATTATAAGATAACAAAACTTGTATAATGCATAAGATAATTTTACTCATGAGGAAAATAATAATCTTTCAGTTTTATTAGACGAATTTCTCAAAATATGGATTCTTTCTCATTTCATTTTAGAACGGTGTAATTTCATTACCTTTTCGCTCAAATGATTCCAAAATATAAATTTTCTTTTGGATAAGCTTCGTATTATTTGTCTCATCGCATAGAATCTGAATGGAATCCATTTGAAAAGAGTTTAAAACTTTTTCAAAGATGTATTAAATCAAAACAGTATTAATTTATTAATTTTTCACAGAAATATTCAATTTCATCTTTCACATATAAATTCATTATGCAACATATATTTGTTTATTTTACTGGCAGTGGAATAATATTCATTGTATATTTGAGACGATTCGTGAAATTTGTTAGGTATACGCTGTGGTGTAGTGTTAATGCTTCAACGGTGTGATGTTGAACTAAAATAAAAACGCTAATGACGGAACATAACATGAAAATTTTATTGAACGCCCCCCAAAAAAAATGGCTACATATAATACAGAAGAGAAAAAGAACCTAAATCTTTTCCTTAAAATCAAATTCTATACCTTTTATGTGCGTTGTTATGAAAACCTCGCAATTCGTTCAGTCACAGTTGATACGAAAGTTGTTTGAGTTCGTATTATTATTTTGCTCTACGAGTGTGATTCTAAAATTTAGGAAGTGAAGAAAATTTATTTATAAATAGTAAGTGTTTTTCGTTGGTCCCTTTCGAGAGGTGTACTTGGAGTAGCTCATCTGGACAAGTTCTTGAGTTTTTGATTTCTACGCTTTCCATTATGGCATTGTCTTGTACATCGATAGGATAGCTTGACTTGGTAAATATGGATGAGATAAATGATTTAGCAGTCCTTAATAAGCGCGATTTTGTTGAGAATATTCTAAACATGGCACGATTGAGATTGTAGGTAGATTAGGCTGAGTTTACTTAGCGTTTAACACGCTTAAAATGGCTTACGGAAAATCACCCCAGAAATGGAGCAATAACTCCAAAAACCTATGCAGAGCTTGAGAAGTGTGTAGCGATTAAACACTGCAGGAGATTCAGTGCATATCTGCGGTAGCATCGCGTTAACTAGCAATATTAACTATACGTTAATACTAGCAATGATTCACTCTAATCAAAACTACAAAAGCAACCTAAACCAGTTCAAATGTTATCAGGAATAAGCAAAAAATAATTATAATGAAAAATGGATTACACCCAAAAATACCACAAACGCACACTTAGTGAAAGCAGCAACGCTTCAATGACGTCAACCAAAAAATAAATACGCTTCACTAAAAATGATGATAAAATGGACACTACAAAATGTTAGTTCGCTAACTCACAGAAAGACAGTACTAATAATGAAGGTGATTTCATTACGCCCAACAAAAGGCTAACAGAATTCATCCGATTATCATTTCGATGTCACGGAGTGGATAGCCCTCAGAGATAATATTAAGCAATTTACCATAATCCATGGAATGTGTACAGAAGATGGTGAATCCACAAGTAAAGTTAAATCAGACATTGAGTATCGTGAAGTCACGAGATACCTATACGAAAAAGAAATTCCTTACCATACCTTCCCTCTCCCTCATGAATAAACCGATAAGAGTTGTATCAAAAATTATCTGTTCACTCAAACCCGAGGACATTATAGAAGAAATAATAGATAATAACATCCCGGTTAAAAAACAGTAAGACAAGTTACCAAGAAAATACAATGAATTGTCAACTACCACTTTCTCATGTTGAAGTCAAACGCAGTATAAAGCAAAAAATATACACATAACGCATATTCTAGATTTGCTGTAAAATTCCCTTCAGAGCCCACTCCAGGACACAAACAACGTCACCACTGTCAGAGGTATGGGCCACAGTCATGCGCACTGTAAGCACAAGCCCGGTGTTTAAAATGCGGGCAAACCATTTACTACTACATGCACAGAAAGACAGAAACTTACCCGGCAAGTTTGCCTCTGCGGAGGCCCCCACATTAGTTCGTACCGGGTTGCGAAATGCATCCGGATAACTTGAAAGAAAAATTGCAGAAAAGAATTCAATAAAACGAAAAAATCTCAAAAATAGTCCCCCTGCTATCAACTTAGAAAATTTCCCACCTCTGCCAAGAAGAAACATAACTCAAAATAGCAGTGAAATGTTAATGAGCAGAATGCTTCATCCACCAATCAGGACGCAGCTGTCGAAATGAAACTAGCTCCGTTTCTGATTTCATAATTGGCTGAAGAAACTATTTCTGCAAGGAAAATCTCTCTCTTCGAGCGGTTCTTAAAATCTAAATCAATATTGGAAAAATCCAAGTCGGCTGGGAAGCCTTTGAACTTTTATCAAGCTCAATTAGAATTTTAATCATATTAACAGTAATTCAAGAAATCATCTCACTGCCACAGCAGTTTTAAACCTCGCATTTTTTTAACGCCAACGATATTCGCCACAAGAACTTTGAAGTTTGCAAACTTCCTTAATCCCATAATATTGATGTGTTTCTAGTGAATGAAACTTGGCTCAACCTAATGATAAGTTCAAGAGCAAAGGTTACAAACGCATTCAGGACGGACAAGACCATAACAGGTGCGGCGCTACTATAAATTAATTAAAAGGCATCTCACGCCACGAGTTTAATATTCCCAATATCAGCAGCATTGAAACCACTGCGATCGTTGTGCATTCGCGCACAAATGAGCCGATTGTCATCATCTCGGCTTATAATCCAACCAGAAGCAATCTCACCAACAATGATTTGAAAAATTTTAACAATATCATTCACCCTGTTATTATAGCAAGGGACCTGAACTCTAAACATCATAGCTGGAATTCTCAAAGAAAAAACGCAAATGGTAACATACTTTATACCTATGCTCTTACGAATGACCTACGAATTTTTGGACCAACGGAACCCACCAGGTATCATCATACAGGCAGCTCGGATATTCTCGCCATAGTTATTACAAAAAGTATCCAGCAAATCCCTTTCCTACAGGTGATTAATCAACTAACCTCTGACATCTCCCTGTTAAATTTAATTTACTTACCATGGCTTTGAAAGACCTTGCCTTTAAAGAAATTATAAACTGGCAGAAATTCAATAATTCTCTGGAACAATTACCTCCACACCCGGCTCTTGCCGATATTCTAGACAATTGAGTACAATATCACTAAGATCAATAGTAAAATTAAGAAAGCCCTTGATGATTCCACCACCAATTCAAAGATTATAAGAAGACAAGCTCCCCGACCACATCATTGAGAAAATAAAGACAAAAACCGCACAGCAAAATCTGCGAACAGGCGATCCCACTGTTAAAAGAAATCTGAACAGAAAATTAAGAACATCAAGACCCTCCTCCTCCTACAGTACAGATCAAATTTGTTGGGACGATTTCTTAGACTCCATGGATTTCTCTCCGAATACAGTCTGGCGTATTGGAAATTCCTTAGGAACTAATCACAGACCCTCCTCCTAGAGTACAGATCAAAATGTTAGGACGATTTCTTAGACTCCATGGATTTCTCACATGACATGGCTGAAGCCCTTGCGCAGCACTTGGAAAAGACTTTCACCAATCATGCCTCTAATAATGAAGAGACAGATGAAGAATTCGATAATTTCATTAACCACCTAGCTGACATAAATTGTGATAATCACTTCAACCCAACTTCTCCAACAGATATAAGTAATATAATTAGCAACTTAAAGTCCAGGAAAGCTTCTGGCTATGATAGCTTCACCAATACGGTTTTCAAAGCTCTTCCAAGAACCTACATAGTCCTCATTACAAACATATTCAATGCTTGTATGAGGCCTCAATTACTTTCCCGCAACAGTGGAAGCACGCGCAGATAATTACGTTTTGTCAAGCCGGGGAAAACCCCAAGGACTTAAACACTCCTACCGTCCGATCAGCCTTCTCCCCAGTTTGGGAAAGGTATTTGAGTGTGTGCTCCAAAGAGATTAACTCAACATCTAGAGGATAAGAAATTATATGTAAAAAGCAGTTTTGGTTTTAGAGCCGGTCATAGTACCGTGCCACCAACTACTGAACGTTACAGAATTTATTGCAGACTCCTTCGCAAAAAGAACACAATCGCCAGCTGCTTTCTAGACCTAGAAAAACCATTTGACAAGGTGTGGCATGAGGGTCTCCTCTACAAGCTGCACCTTGTTCATCTGCCCATCATTTTATTAAGCTCATGAAAAGCTATCTAAAACAGGACCTTTCAGGTAAAATTAATGACTCTCTCTTTCTTCAAGAAAAAGAATTAAAAGCGAGTGGCTCAAGGAAGCTTCTGGGACCGCTTTTGTTTCATATCTACACGAATGATATGCCGGTTCCTTTGAATGCAAAAGTAGTGAAATATGCCGACGACACAGCAATTTTAACCAAGTCGCTAAACCTCAGCTCGCTGTAGATAAACTTGAAAGCGCAGTAAATATCATAGCACACTATTATGATTCATGGAAATTAAAAGTAAATCCGTCAAAGAGCCAAATTCTCCTTTCAGACGTCATCGGAAGTTCACTCCTGTGAATGTAAATATAAAAATTAATGATCAAGCCCTACAATTGTTTCAAGTACCAAGTATCTAGGAGTGGTCTTCGACTCACAGCTGTTATTTCAAAGAACACACGGAGTATGCCTTGCGCAAAGCCACCGCTGCTAAAATGTCTCTTTACCCTTTAATAAGAAGAATGCTAAATTAAATATCATTCTCAAGAAGAAGATCTATACCAGCTTAATAAGACCCACCCTACTTTATGCAGTGCCTATCTGGGCCACTGTGTACAAGACTTATAGACACAAACTACAGGTCTTTCAGAACAAAATACTCAGACAAATTGTTGACTCCCCATGGTTCGTACGTAACCTGCAGATACCATAAAGAACTAAAATAAGACCCATAGCTGATCAAATTCTCCACCACGAGCCACATTTCTATGCTAAAATAGAACTTTCTCAATACGAACATATCCGTAATCTGATAAATTATGATCCTACTATAGAATTGCAGCAAAGCGCCCAAGAGGCATCTTCCATAACAGCAAATGGTGTATATATTGTACATAGTACTATTATATTTATTTTATCTTCATTGTGTCATTTTACCAGTGTCTTTGAAACTTTATAGACTTATGGACATGATCCGTGTACCTGGATCTTCAAAGCACTGATCTTAATATTTGTCATTTTCGTAATCTTCTTATTGTTATATCAGAGCTTTGTAATATTGTGGACTTATGGACATGATCCGTGTACCTGGATCTTTAAAGCTCTGATATTTATTGCTATGTAAATGTTTTTCACCATTTGCCTACTTCGCTCAAATACCGCCGTCCCATATGTACATAGTGTATAGTTTCAGTAACTCATGTGCCTCAGTGTTGTACAAGAACTTTAGTGTTAATTTCTCAGACCAAGACTTCACTGAATTGTGATATCTATTTCAAGATGCATTGGGCTGTGGACAGTTCACGGAGGGTGACCCCCACGTGACTACCACTGTCCAATCTGTGTTTTACAGCAAGGATGAATTTGAATATTTTGTTTAGCTAATCTGTTGCACTTAGTTGTGCCATTTTTGTCTTCATTTAGATCGCGATATTAGTTTAATTTTCCAATCTGGATAACTGTTTCAAAACTTGATAATTATTAATATATCCAATATTCTCATTGACGCGTAAGCTGCTTTGCTCGGAGTCTGAACTGGGGTGGTGACCACCCACGTGACAGGCTCCTGCCAATCATCTCCTACACTCCACCTACATTTCACAAAATTTGACAAGTTTCGCCTAGTTGGCGCGGCGTAATCGCCTTAATTAAAAACTTAAGTACCAACGCCTTAGGGCAATTTACCAACAGACGGAAGTAGCGGTTGGCTACCAATTGCCGCCTACCATTGACTCG